AAGAGATGCCCTATAGAGATGCCTACATGCCTAAGCACCTCTGTGGACCTTACCATCCACACAGATAATCAGTTGTGAGAATGGGGAGAGAGGAGGATGCCTGCATCTTCCCTACCCATTTACCCTGACTGCAGCTTTTGTCCTGCCTGCCAAACCTAAGCAAGCTGATGTGGGTCATCAACAATTCACAACTGAAGAAAAGGAATGGCGCTGTCATTGCCACTTGTGCTTCTGCTGTGGTGAACCTCACTATGTCATCTTGGTTTGCCCAATACAAATGCAGAAGAGTTTGCAAGTACGGTGGGGGGAACTGATATGGGCCTTTGGAGAAGAAAACTTCCCAGCTCCCCGCTCTCTTCAGTTCCAATTGAGGAGGGACACAAATTTTTAAAAAAATTCAGCACAATCTATTCCCCACACTTTTATGACCGCCTTGTTCACTGATGAGAGCAGAAAGTCTGGTTCTCATCAGAATTCTGCTGACAGCATATCCAGGGACCAGGAAGTATTGCATTCAGATCCAAGAAGTAAGGGAGCTATCTGCACCGAATCACTTAGTGGGGAATCCTTGGAACTTCCCACAAGTGCACCAGGGCTACTCAACACATGGCCGGTGGGCCACATGGTTTGGTTTGGGTTTATGAGGGGCTCAAAACATGGCCCGGGGGTGGGAGCCAAAACAAAAAAGTAGTCAATGTAATGGTCTTCAGTTGACATGTGTTTTAGTAGCTAAATTCCTGGACTGTCATTGCTCATTAAAAGTGCTGTCATATGGGTGGAAATTGGGTAAATATTGAATGTTATTAATATCAGCAGAACTGACTTAAATGAGGCCTGTATATTGTGTAGTTTTGCCTTAATCTTTGTATTCAGGCCCATCAGTGTGAGAGAAGCTATTTGTAAAGTTAAACTCCAATTGTCCGGCATCCAGTGGTCCGGCTCTCCCGATAGTCCGGCACCAACTGGACCCCAGAAGTGCTCCGGCCAGCCGGACAATTGGAGCTGCTCCACGCCCCTTCTCCAAGTCTGCTGCTACCGCTGCTGAAACTGACTAGTGGCAGACTTGGGGAAGAGGTGTAGAGAAGGTGGGGTGCTGCCCCGGCACCAACTGGAACCCAGAAGTGCTCCGGCCAGCCGGACAATTGGAGCTGCTCCACGCCCCTTCTCCAAGTCTGCTGCTACCGCTGCTGAAACTGACTAGTGGCAGACTTGGGAGAGAGGTGTAGAGCAGATGGGGTGCTGCCCGGTTGGTCCCGTAGCACTGCCCCTCACCCCCCTGCTCGGCACCTGGCAGCACCCCAGGAGTTTTAGCAGCGGCGGACTTGGGGAAGCCGTGGGGCAGAGCAGCTGGGGTGCTGCTGGGTTGGTCCCGCAGCGCCGCTTAGGTGAGTGGTGTCGCTGCGGGACCAACCCGGCAGCACCCCAGCTGCTCTGCCCCGCTGCTTCCCCAAGTCACCGCTGCCGTTTGCAGCCCCTGCTGGCTTGTCTCCAGCAGCTGCGCGGGCTTCCCCCGCCACCCTCCTGACCCTTCATAGCCCCCCTTCTGGAGTACCTCCAGATACTCCAGCATATGCAATAATCCGGCACCCCCTGAGTCCCAAAGGTGCCGGATTATTGGAAGTTTACTGTATATATTTCCATGTATGGTCCTCAATGGTGGAGTAGCCCTGTTTCTCCACACACAGTGGTGGTTGCTGGCACAGAGCATATTTGATTTAGGTCAGGGTAACAGTAGTAGGGTTAAGAAAGTCAGATTCCTCACACACTTGCCTCCTTGTTCACCTACTACACACACAATGACAGTCAAGAAGGGAAGAAAAGAAGAAAAGACCTCCTGCTTGCCTGAGCGCTTACAACAGTAACCTGCTATCTTGAGTTCCCTTTGGGTATGTCTACACTACCCTCCTAGTTCGAACTAGGAGGGTAATGTATGCATACCGCACTTGCTAATGAAGCCCGGGATTTGAATTTCCCGAGCTTCATTAGCATAAGCGGGGAGCCGCCATTTTTAAATCCCCGCTGCTTCGAACCCCGTGTAGCGCGGCTACACGGGGCTCGAACTAGGTAGTTCGGACTAGGGTCCTATTCCGAACTACCGGTAC